TCACACAACACCACACAACCAGTCCACAACCCCACACACACAGTCACCCAACACCACCCCACCACAGTAAACCCAACACCAAAACCCACAGTCACACAACACCACACACCACGTCACACAAACCACAACAGTCACACAACACCACACACCACAGTCACACAACACCACACACCACAGCCACACAACACCACACACCACAGTCACACAACACCACACACCACAGTCACACAACACCACACACCACAGTCACACAACACCACACACCACAGTCACACAACACCACACACCACAGTCACACAACACCACACACCAGCCACACAACACCACTGTTGCGGCCCCCTGCCAAACTAGCGGTTAAATAGTTAACCTGCCGGCCGGCAGTACCACTGGGTACGTCATCAAACCCAATGTGGGGACTGCTGAGCCGGCCTTAGAGCAGTAAGTTCCTGAGTGCCTCACGGTGCACATCTAAGCAGTAGGTACCTGACCACCTAAGGGTACAGTCTACTGGCTTTAGTAACAGTATGTACCTGAGCGCCTCAGGATACGCACCTAAACAGTAGGTACCTGAACACCTAAGGGTACACGTCTACTGGCTTGAGCAACATTAAGTACCTGAACTCCTCAGGGAAACACATCTAGTAGTAGGTACCTGCCCACCTAATCGTACCTATCTACTGGCTTTTAGAAGAACCGCTCACTGCAGCTCACTGAGTCTGTTGGCCTCAGTTACTTGACGGCCGCATTCAGTGAGCTTGCAGATGGTGTTCGGCTAGCGGTGTGTCAACCGGCTTTGGAGAGGATTTACTGGCTCCCGGTGATGTCTGTGGACTCCCCGGGTCTATGTTGATCAACTGTGGGCCGGAGTCATCAGATGCTGTTTAGGGGACCTTACATGAAGAAAAGGTTTTGGGGTGTTACACTGAACTGGGCCAGGAACGTAGTGTGACACTTACGGGAACGTATGATGGAGTGGAACCTGAGATATGAAAAGGACCATAGTGGAACACTGAGATGAAAAAGTGTGTCGTGGGACACTGAAGATTTGGGCCCGGTTGTAGTGTACACTGAATAGTGTCATGTGACTGGTCTCGTGTCGTTTAGAAGCAGTTGATTTTTAATTTATTATTATACAAATGTTATTTATAATTTATTATTTTAGTATAGAGATATATATATATATAGTGACAGTAGTGTCAAGAAAGTTGTACCCTGTGTAGGGTCACGAATAATTATTTATTTTAGTTAGATGCTAATTATAATTTATTATAGTAACATGTACAAATATCATAGTTCAAATACCTCTAGACCAAAGATACTTGATTTATATATATTAAAGATTAATTGATTTAATGTGTGTATTTATGTATCCCGAACTCTTTATTACAAAAGGAGTAAATCTTACCATCTTTTAAAAATTACTTTTTTTGTAATAACCACACACCAGTCACACACCACACACCACAGTCAAATAAAATTAAATCAAATCAAATCAAGTTTAGTCTCTATAAGGGTTACAATGTGGGGTTTACAGGTTTTGGGTATTGTGTGGTTTACATGTTATAAAATACTAATTACAGAGGGATCCACTAGGACACCTAGCATGGCTAGACATTTCGGGCAGACTTAGATTAATTCTTAACATTAAATCCTTACAGATTATGGTATTAGGGCTAAGTGACTACATTATAATTTGTGAGTTTAACAATGTGAATGCTTTTGTTTTGGCACAATACAAAGTGTCTGTACTGGAGTATCATAGGCAAACATATGACTAGTAAGGATTCATTATTTTAAGATTAAGATTAGTATTTCTGTGTTTATAGTCGGTGGGTGAGTGAGTTTAATTGTGAACCACCGGTGGTTATGTAGTTAGTTGTCGGGGTATATCAGGGAGATAAGATGTTTTCTAACTGTAGTTTTGAAAGTGATGAATGTGTCTGCAGTTCTCGAGTTTTCAGGTAGGGTGTTCCAGATTTTAGGTCATATGAAATACATCGAATTTTTGTAAAGGTTTAGTCGGACACGGGGAATGTCATAGATATTTGTGTCTGGTGTTATGCCTGTGGATCCTGTCACCTATCAAGAATGCATTTTAGGTCAAGGTTAATATTGGAATTTAAGGTCCTGTAGATATAGATTACACAGTAGTAAGTGTGGATGTTCTGAACAGGGAGTAAGTTTAGATCTATGAAGAGTGGGGGGGGGGTGTTGCCAGGGATGGGATTTAGTGATTATTCTTACTGCGGCTTTTTGTCGAGTTATTATTGACTTTAGGTGTGTTGCTGCAGTTGAACCCCAAGCACAGATAGCATAGGTGAGGTATGGATATATAAGTGAATGGTATAGTGTGAGAAGGGCAGTTTGCGACACATAGTATCGTATTTTGGATACACAACACCACACTTACACAACACACTACACTCCCATAACACCACAACAACACTGTCATACACTATCACGCCATAGCACCACAACAGCACACTCAGCTCCACAATAGCATCGCCATACACCATCACACCTTAGCACCACAACACTAACAAAGATCACCACCAAGTACCACACAGCACTATGCACCACCACAACGCCACACGTTACAGCACCACACAACGTTATAAACACACACCGCTACGCCACAAATGCAAGAAAAATCAACACAGGATAAATAGCATTTCAAACCAACCAAGAGATGGTAATTGAGATACTTTTCAAGTATCTGTAGTCTAGATTGAAATATTGCCGTGCTCTTAATAGCTCCCTTTAAGGCAGATAATTTTACATATCTGGAGAATGTATAGTGAGCTTCCACCGCTGGCATAAACTGAAACATGTAAATTATTGGAAATTCCTGAAGTCCCTCAATGTGTACTCCCTGGAATGTAGGCGAGAAAAACAAACTTTAGAAATGCTCACTAATCGAGGGAGTATTTTGCAAATATTTTTGCACATTGAAATAACACTGTATGGTAGATTGTGAGCAATACCAATAATTAAAATCATAGGTCTAATAAATACACTACTTACAAATTATAAAGTATAAAGGGTTCAAGGTCTTTAAACATTCTCCCTTCAAATATTAAGAGAACTACTAACAGGTTCCTTACTATCTTCATGAGGTAACTTGAATTCTTTCAAGCGGCTCCTAATAACTTTAGCTATGATCTTTACGTTGGACTGCCTGCTGCGTGCCTTCGTCAGACTTATTTACTAAGCCCTAAACCGGGTCTGAGACCTGGCCGCAGCGATTATCCTTGGAACCAGCCACAGATATGCAGGTATACTACAACACTACACCATACTTGCCACACCACCATTGAAGTGTGTCCCCCGGCGTACTGCTTCATTAGAGACCTTCAACTTCTCTCATAATTTGCAGGAGGTAAAAATTAACGTTCTCACGCTCATTTCGGTCAAGTGGCTCATTTTCGTGGTGACGCTGGCGAGGCGGAGCAGCCAGGACAGATGACCACACAAGCTGTAACACAGTCACGTGACGGAGCAGTAATATATGTAACACTGAACAAGAGGACATAGAAACAGAAACACTGCTGTTTCCACGTGTGAATGTTCATGACGAGGGCAGCAGGGACCATGAAGCCGACCATAGTAACGAAACTGACTCCGGCTTTGCCGACTTCGACCACAGCGGAGGTATACTAAAGGTATGACAACTGTTAAGGATATACTAGAGGCAACGCGGTAAAGTTATACTAGAGGCAAGGTATAACGCATGCTACTGCCAGAGACAGTTTGTAGTGTTGGTCTCGTGGTCAAGACAGTTTATGTAGGGTTCTATTCGTCAACGACAAGTAGAACCCAACATAAACCCTAACCTCTCTCTCTCTCTCTCTCTCTATGCCGCCATTTCGGATGATAATCATCCATTGTCCGCCGTCGCCTCGATGATTCCCAGACCTGTATGCATAATATGTTACTTCTGTTACTATATTGCAGCCAACAGCAGCCTGGACAGGAACCAGCTGGAGTATAACAGCTGGCAATACTCACCAGTGAGACGGAACGTCCTCCAAGCTGGCCATCTGGGACGCTGCAGGTCTCCAGGGCTGAATGTACAGAGTGAAGACTCTTCTTGGACGACCTGAGAAGCGCACACAAACACACGTAAAGTCAACGACTACACACATGGGCAGGCAGATAAAGCACATTGTATAATAATAATAATAATAATAATAATGGCAAAATTATTTATTTACAAACTACAATAGAACTGAAAATCTAATACGCTAGTGGTCCTGGAGGACATCATCCCCGCTAAGACGGGTCTCGGACCAGGTCTCCTAGCTTGAAAAGGAAATATTAATGAATTATGAAGTATTGAAAAGTTTTCCGAACGCGTGTCATTCTCGTGAGCGCGAGTGTTGCTACAACACAGCCAGAGAACCAGTGGTTACTGGCTAACATCTTCCACACGAGAACTTATTACGTCAGTCAGTAAACACTCAAACTTAGGAGAGGAACTTCATGACGAAGTTCAGGTGCGTCCTGAACTTTTTCCTCGGTATTAAGCTTTATCAAGTGTACAGAAAAAAATAAATTACTCGGTTTATTGGTTGAAAAAACAAATGCCAGACACTAGGATATATTTATTACAAAACGTTTTGATCCCACAACCGGAACGTTTTGATCCCACAACCGGAACGTTTTGATCCCACAACCGGAACGTTTTGATCCCACAACCGGAACGTTTTGATCCCACAACCGGAACGTTTTGATCCCACAACCGGAACGTTTTGATCCCACAACCGGAACGTTTTGATCCCACAACCGGAACGTTTTGATCCCACAACCGGAACGTTTTCTAATAAATACCAAATTCTAATTATACCACTTTGTCGGTATCAATTACCAAGGAAATAAATGGTATAAAATACCGACACAATGGAAATATAAACACAAATGTGACTTGAAAAAGCCCACTGTGTGGGCGAAACGTAGTCATTAAAGGATCACATTATACTGCATTTGTGTTTATATTTCCATCGCTGTATAGCCCTTGTGGCTTAGCGCTTCTTTTTGATTATAATAATAATATATTTCCATCAATTACCAAAGATTTTTTTATCAGACTCCGTAAAAATGCATTCCAACGAGGTAGATAGGGAAGGTCAGGTCACGGATGTGGGCGGGGCTGCGACGGGAAGGTCAGGGCACGGGTGGCGTCGTGTGGGCGGGGCTGCGACGGGAAGGTCAGGGCACGGGTGGCGTCGTGTGGGCGGGGCTGCGACGGGAAGGTCAGGTCACGGGTGGCGTCGTGTGGGCGGGGCCGCGACGGGAAGGTCAGGTCACGGGTGGCGTCGTGTGGGCGGGGCCGCGACGGGAAGGTCAGGTCACGGGTGGCGCCGTGTGGGCGGGGTCGCGACGGGAAGGTCAGGTCACGGGTGGCGTCGTGTGGGAGGGGCTGCGACGGGAAGGTCAGGTCACGGGTGGCGTCGTGTGGGCGGGGCCGCGACGGGAAGGTCAGGTCACGGGTGGCGTCGTGTGGGCGGGGCCGCGACGGGAAGGTCAGGTCACGGGTGGCGTCGTGTGGGCGGGGCCGCGACGGGAAGGTCACCTAGTGTAGAGTACCAACAAGTTGATGAGTAAGACACGTGCGTCATGCCTGGATATCTTCAGTGACACAGACACTGCCAGTCACTGCTTGACAAATCGTCTTTAGAGATATAAACACTCAGGCGTTAAACGTGAAATAGTTGTGATTCTGCTGGATGGTGTCAGGTACGCTGATGATGGCTGCTTCTAGGCACCTCCTCTAGATCTCTCAGCCTCTGTTAGGATGAGTTTGGTCTTGTCCCACACCACGAGGTGTGAGAGTTTGTCTCAGTGTGCGACACATGCCTCACAGTGTGAGAGGTTGTCTCAGTGTGCAACACATGCCTCACAGTGTGAGAGTTTGTCTCAGTGTGTGACACATGCCTCACAGTGTGAGAGTTTGTCTCAGTGTGCAACACATGCCTCACAGTGTGAGAGTTTGTCTCAGTGTGCGACACATGCCTCACAGTGTGAGAGTTTGTCTCAGTGTGCAACACATGCCTCACAGTGTGAGAGTTTGTCTCAGTGTGCAACACATGCCTCACAGTGTGAGAGTTTGTCTCAGTGTGCGACACATGCCTCACAGTGTGAGAGTTTGTCTCAGTGTGCAACACATGCCTCACAGTGTGAGAGTTTGTCTCAGTGTGCGACACATGCCTCACAGTGTGAGAGTTTGTCTCAGTGTGCAACACATGCCTCACAGTGTGAGAGTTTGTCTCAGTGTGCGACACATGCCTCACAGTGTGAGAGTTTGTCTCAGTGTGCAACACATGCCTCACAGTGTGAGAGTTTGTCTCAGTGTGCGACACATGCCTCACAGTGTGAGAGTTTGTCTCAGTGTGCGACACATGCCTCACAGTGTGAGAGTTTGTCTCAGTGTGCGACACATGCCTCACAGTGTGAGAGTTTCTCAGTGTGCGACACATGCCTCACAGTGTGAGAGTTTGTCTCAGTGTGCGACACATGCCTCACAGTGTGAGAGTTTGTCTCAGTGTGCAACACATGCCTCACAGTGTGAGAGTTTGTCTCAGTGTGCAACACATGCCTCACAGTGTGAGAGTTTGTCTCAGTGTGCAACACATGCCTCACAGTGTGAGAGTTTGTCTCGGTGTGCAACACATGCCTCACAGTGTGAGAGTTTGTCTCGGTGTGCAACACATGCCTCATAGTGTGAGAGTTTGTCTCAGTGTGCGACACATGCCTCACAGTGTGAGAGTTTGTCTCAGTGTGCAACACATGCCTCACAGTGTGAGAGTTTGTCTCAGTGTGCAACACATGCCTCACAGTGTGAGAGTTTGTCTCAGTGTGCGACACATGCCTCACAGTGTGAGAGTTTGTCTCAGTGTGCAACACATGCCTCACAGTGTGAGAGTTTGTCTCAGTGTGCGACACATGCCTCACAGTGTGAGAGTTTGTCTCAGTGTGCAACACATGCCTCACAGTGTGAGAGTTTGTCTCAGTGTGCAACACATGCCTCACAGTGTGAGAGTTTGTCTCAGTGTGCAACACATGCCTCACAGTGTGAGAGTTTGTCTCAGTGTGCAACACATGCCTCACAGTGTGAGAGTTTGTCTCAGTGTGCAACACATGCCTCACAGTGTGAGAGTTTGTCTCAGTGTGCAACACATGCCTCACAGTGTGAGAGTTTGTCTCAGTGTGCAACACATGCCTCACAGTGTGAGAGTTTGTCTCAGTGTGCAACACATGCCTCACAGTGTGAGAGTTTGTCTCAGTGTGCAACACATGCCTCACAGTGTGAGAGTTTGTCTCAGTGTGCAACACATGCCTCACAGTGTGAGAGTTTGTCTCAGTGTGCAACACATGCCTCACAGTGTGAGAGTTTGTCTCAGTGTGCAACACATGCCTCACAGTGTGAGAGTTTGTCTCAGTGTGCAACACATGCCTCACAGTGTGAGAGTTTGTCTCAGTGTGCGACACATGCCTCACAGTGTGAGAGTTTGTCTCAGTGTGCGACACATGCCTCACAGTGTGAGAGTTTGTCTCAGTGTGCAACACATGCCTCACAGTGTGAGAGTTTGTCTCAGTGTGCAACACATGCCTCACAGTGTGAGAGTTTGTCTCAGTGTGCAACACATGCCTCACAGTGTGAGAGTTTGTCTCAGTGTGCAACACATAATAACTCTCACACTTCGGAAAAGGAAACTCATGGTGAAGCTTCGGTCCGACTTGGACTACAAGTGACACTGAAGTGAGAAGGTTAGGTTAGGTAAGATTCGTCAGGAAACAGGACAAATGTTTCCTGACGAGGGTCTTAGATGATGACCCGCCTTTGGAGCTCTTGGTCATCTGACCGAGGCCTTCCGCTGGTTTACCGGTCCACCCCTTTAAAAATTATGGTCATTTATAACCATTGTTATTACAAGTGAGAAGGGAAGGAGGCCGAAATAAATACGAGAGGGGAACAAGGGAGGGGGGGAGAGGGAGGGGGAGGGGAGGGGGAGGGGGAGGGGGAGGGGGAGGGGATGGAGATCCGTCATGCCTCCAGCATGTTTACTGGAGCTACAGACAGTCTAGCATCAAGGCTGCTGAAAGCGTGTAATAACAAGCTGAAAGATCAAATATTAACCAGCGTTACACATTCCTCCGAAAGCTCATCAAACTGCTAGATTTTTCTAACAAAATACAATACAGTATTCTGTAATTATTCAAGGAATTAAAATTCCCACAATATTCCTGATGTCACTTCCACCGGATAAAGCAGAATGGATTTTTTTTTTTTCAAAAAGTGAAAAATTGGACAGTTATGATAAACGGATTATGAAAAATCGGGCAATTATGAAAAATCGAAAAACTATATAAAATCGGTAAAATATGAAAAACTGGACAATAATTTAAAATCGAACAGTTATGCAAAATCGGATAATTATGAAATTGGATAACTTAATGAAAAAAAAAAATGAAGAAAGTGTCATTGTGAGTGTGGGTTAGTAAGCGTCCTTGACCTGTACTCCCTGAAACCCAGGCGAGGAAGATACATTATAATCTATACCTGGAAAAATCCTAGAGGAACTACTCCCAAATCTGCACACAGAAAACACTCCATATGAAAGCAAAAGACTGAGCAGACGATGCAAAATACCTCCATTGAAAAGCAGGGGAGCTATGAGTACGCTAAGAGAAAACACAATAAGTGTCAGGGGCCCAAGACTGTTCAGCAGCCTCCCACCAGGCATAAGGGAAGATTTACCAATAGACCCCTGGCTGCCTTCAAGAGGAGCTGGACAGGTACCTAAAGTAAGTGCCCGATCAGCCGGGCTGTGGTTCTTACTTTGGACTGTGTGCGGCCAGCAGTAACACCCTATTTGATCAGTCCCTGATCCATGGGAGGCCTGGTCAAGGACTAGGCGGCGGGGGCATTGACCCCCGGAACGAGCTCCAAGTAGATAGGTGACAGACTTCAGGAGGCAGGCTGTGGATGGCGTGTGGCAGGATGTGGTGGCACGTGGCAGGCTGTGGTGGGGTGTGGCAGACTGGTGGTGTGTGGCAGGCTGTGGTGCGTGTGGCAGGCTGTGGGTGGCGTGTGGCAGA